CAAACGTTAAATTCAACTTCCTACAGGTTTAAGAGAAACACTTCTTGAGTTCTTGTAATGGAAGCTGTCCTTGAGAGATCTTACAATGGTTTTTGCATATATACTAGTTTCCCTTTCATATCAAAATCATGGAAATATATAGACATATTTATAATTATTATGCATTAAGCAGGCGGTCAGCCAAGCCATAATGAATAAAAATGCAAGGACATATAAATAAAAATGCTACAGGTTATTCAAATACTCACTTTCCTGAGAATTACCAGCAGAGCAAGCAACAATGTTTGTCACCATCTTCGCAGGATATGAACCTGCTCCCGAGCAGATCTTCATGGTTTTGGAACAAGAAAGTAACCTGTAGAACAGATGATAATCAGAAAAGAAAAAAAAATCACATAAAATTTGGTTATATCTAAACTAATGCGACGCAGACAGGTAGAACAAATCAACACTACTGAATAGTCTCTCTCAACCACGAACATAGCAGACTTATTGTAGTTCCTAATATGCATCCTGCAAGGAGATACCAGTTCCATAAACAAGTAGAAATGTCATAACTTAAGACTTCTAAATTAGCTAATAGCTATTGCGAAAACCATTCCTGCATATGTTTTTGGGATGGCATGTCCAGAAAATATAGGAAGTGTAATGTCCAGCAAAGCATCTGCAATCTGCATCCCCCAAAAACGCATGTTAACTTTGCTTCAAAAAAACAAGAATGAGCCAAATTGAGAGAGTAAATTAAGTAAGGATATAGAATCTTATCAAATCTGGAATGGGATCAAGCATGCAGTGTTTTTATCCATCAAAGTTTTTTCAAATGTAAGTAACAACCTTCAATGAGAAAATGCAAAATAATCTCAGTCCAGAATAAAAGCCTAAACCTATGCTTCGTACTATCTAAAACAACATGAATAGAGTTATATGTTAGCTCAACAACATAAACTTCTTAAAGAAGCTTAAAAAAAAATCAATCATCTAAAGGGCTTCTAAACTGTATCCTAAAGAAAACAAACGAAGAAAATTATACCGTCACATACATATATGCCTCTAAATCAGTTTTTCGTCAGAAAATTCAATCAAACGGAGAATATATATGAGATAATCAGTTCAAGTCAAACTAAATATTTTTTATCGTGAAAATGTACATAAACAACATAGAGCTCTGAGTAATCCATGCTTACCGTATATCTCTCTGTCCATTTTACTTTCTTTCCCTGCACACATAAAACCTGCAAAACAAAAACAGAGCACATGAGAAATTAACATATGTTAAGATCAGATCTAGATACAAAGATTGACAACTCAAGATTGATAACCTATCAACCCCGTCTCGACGTCCCTGTGCGTAAACTCCAACCACGGCTTACCAGATTAAGATTAAGAAATAAGACAGCAATGTCTCCGAATAGCAGATTAAGAAATTGTATTAGTGACTGGCATTACCCCAGAAATAAGATAAGTTGAGTAACAGGCAAATCAAGGGGCATCTAACACTACTTACCGCAACTTGTCTGTCTCATTTCTTCAAGCAAAGGAGACTTGAACGACCTGTAACATCAAAAAAGTAAATCATCACAACAAGAACAAGAATCAAACCGGAGACAAAGTGATGCTAAACAAATCTAAACCGAAAACAAGGCAGCAGAAGTTTTTTTTTTATCTTTGATTACAAGCCACCACGTCCTCCTACTCTGTCGCTCTCTCTTGACTTAGCTTCCTTCACGGTGAAGCTACATTCATCAAGCTCTTTCCGGATCATCCTTCGATAGCATCCCATTGAGGATTTCTTGTCGTTGAAGATCACGAAAGGAATCCCCTTGATCTTCCAGTCTCGGAATCGGCATTAACAGAATAAGAAAGTTTGTAAGTTGCTGTAATTATAATAACAAGTAGAAGATAATTAAGGAAGATTATCACCAACCGTTTTGTCAAGATGTACAGTACCAAGCCACGAATCAAGAGCAGCCAAGGTGCATTCTCTCATTTGTTTCTTGGAGACACTTTGGAACATCATATAGATTGGATTACTCAAGTATTTGGTACAGGTAGGAAGTAATAATGTACAGAGTAACAAATATTTTCAGTGCTTGACATGTATAACCAACCTTGCTCACCTTCTCAAAGCCTTAAGAAGATACAAAATTGACGTTTGAACAACTCTCTTTTGATCTGTAGCCCTTAAGAATATTAGGGGTAATATTTCTACTGATGAACATAATATAAGTAGAGCAAGAAATACAAAACTTAAGACAATCCACACAAATGTACCTCAAAAGGGGTTTTTTTCTTTCTTTTTCATACGTCAAGTGCACTTAGTAGAGTAGGTCTGACATCATTAAAAAACCCCTTTAAAGTCTGCAAATAGAAATATCACAGTTTAATTCAATTATTAAGATAAAACAAGTTAGACAAAGCAGAAGCATCTTAAAGGAATTCTTAGTCACCTGAACAAACAAACTTGTGTCAAGCACCCCAAAAATTTGATTGTAACATTTCTGGTGGTAGCTGTAACATCCTTACAAAAATCTATCAAAGCTTGTCAAATGGCTACAAACAAAAGCCATGAATCATCATTTTGATATTATTAATATGAAAGTCAAAGAAAAGTTAACGAACCAACACATAACCTCTTAACATCAAATCCAAGACCAAATGATTTGTAGAATGCAGTAGGCCACTCATAGCAGAGGATCGTTTCTTTATATCTACGACGTGTTCATTAGTGCCTAGAAATGATAGAAAAACTCAACCAAATAAGCTAAGAACAAATTCTGTAAGAAAAAAAAAAAGAATTGACGTTAGAATAGAGCATTAATCAACTAAAGGTAGCTATTTCGTCGTATGATTCTAACATGTAATGCAAAGTACAACACATTTCTTAGGAAATTTTGCCGCAGTCCAAGATATGTGAGTAATGATTTCAATGACTTGTGTAGTGAAAATAGATGAATAATCACTTAAAATGAACTAACCTCTCAAGTAAAACGAAAAATGAGATATAGAAAGAGATAAGCACCAGTGATAAAGAGAGCTCCATTTTCTGGTTTTACAAGAGAACCTACTGTTTCAATCGCTTTAAGACCCATTTATTAATGTAGGTTTGACATCATTAAGAAACCTTCTGAAGTCTTCAAACAGAAAATTTTAGTTCAGTTATTAAGATATGTTATTCTAACAAAACAAGTTAGCCAAAGCAGAAGCAGCTTAAAGGAATTCTTAGCCACCTGAACCAACCTTATTTGAGAATAAAAGAGTCTTCAATGCCTTCAACAAACCTTCAAGTTTTTCTTCCCATTCAGAGAGCTCTACTGCTTTCAATCCTTTAAGACCCATCTCAGTAGGTTAAATTGAAAAGAATAACAAGATATTAACACCACAATTGTAAGAAGGAAGAGTCAAAATACATAACCATTATAAGTATATTAATATGTACCTTGACATCTTCAGGTGATTAAACTTTCATTCCATATAGATCCGTCATTTTTGCCTCTAGGTGATTAAACTCAACCGTCTCTTTTTCTATTGACTGGCATCGTTCACGGTGAAGCTACGATCATCAAATCTTGTCGAATGGATAGAAAACCCTCTTTGTCAAAATGAAAATAACTTAAATAAAAACAGGGAAATCAGAGCTGGAAATTTCGAAGTAGAGAAAAATTCAAAACCTTGGGTTTCAAAAGTGAGACACCAAATTCATCAACTGTCAAAACCATCTATAACAATAGAACTGACAGAATCCATAAATCATAAATCACCATTGTGATCAGATTAGGCTCGTGTCTCGTGAGGACAAACCTGAGGACAGTTAACAAACCTGAGGACAGTTCATAGCAGGCTCGTGTCTTTATATCTACAACTTGTTCATTAGTGCCTGCAAATGATAGAAAAAATCAGCCAAATGAGCTAAGAACTAATTCTGTAAGAAAAGAAAAATAGAACTGACATCATAATACAACATTCTGAAACTGAAAGTAGCAGTTTCCTCATATGATACTAACCTGAAATGCAAAGTATGACACATTTCTTAGGAAACTTTGCCGCAATCCAAGATATGTGAGGAATGATTTTAATAAGATATGTGAAGAAGCCACTTAAAATGGAGATCAAATGTCTTTTAGCACTCTTCAATTCCATGTTCAACATCAAAACGAGACTCAGTTAATAAGAAGATTATATCACTTTTAACACAACACACTAACATCAAGTGGAACTGTCAGCATTCTAGAGTAGATAAACTTACCCTCCATCAATTTTCATTGCTGAAGCAATGATCTCTCCTTCATATTAACCAGGAGGTTGGCTATTAGGAACGTCTATTGAGACCCAAATAACACTTATTTCTCTACAATAGGAAGCATACCAGAGTACGTTAATCTCACGAAATAAGACAGCAATGTCTCCACATATCAGATTAAGAAATTGGATTAGTGAGTGGTATTACCAGTCAAGTAACGTAGCAAATCAAGACGGTTTTGGTGACTGGCCAATAACTAATCATAGAACAAAGGTAAACAATCTGTAACATCATCATAAGAACAAGAATTAAACCGGAGACACAGGAACAAATCTAAACCAAAAACAGAGCATCACAAAACCATTCACGGTGAAGCTACGACCATCAAACTCTTTCCCGATCATCTCTTCGATATCATCCCATAGAAGATTTATTGTCCTCAGAGATCCCGAATCAGAATCCCCTTGATCTTCTAATTCTCGCGATTTGTCAAACCCAAAATCACAAAACTATCATAGAGATGGTATCGATGAAATAACAAAATCGATCTACCTCTGGGTTCACGAAAGCATGAAGATTAACATACCAATTGGGATAAATTAGGTAAAAGTAACAAAGACGAGAGACAAAGTAACGATAATCAATCAAGTAAACATATCAATCACAAGAGAATCAGAATGATCGGAATTGCCTCGACGGAACCCTAAATCTGGGAGTTTGATCTCTCGTGTGACTCCCTTTAGAATCGAGAACGTCCTTTCTAGTGTTTGATCGTCGGCGGCTCAAGCAAAGCCACTGGGAAAAAGCACCGGCACGGCACGTAATAGGAGTATTTAGGGTTTCAAAGGGAAGTTATCAGAGAGAGGGAGAGAGAGAGATTGTATACGTTTTTCTTCCTCAAACGGCTATTTGCTTCTGTTATATAGAAGATCCGAAATTTGAAAAGGAAGATCACAAGAAAAAATGATCCTTTGACCAAAAAAAAAAAAAAAAATGATCCGTTTTAGAAAATAAATAAATAAATTCCAGCTTTATACATGTCATAATTGTGGGCTGCAAAAGACCTAAACTAAACCAAGATGTAACCACCCTGAATCCCTGATCATATGAACGATTTTTAGATTGGTTCGGTTTGGTCTAACATGTGACCTCAATTAACCAAATTAGTCCCCTACCTCTTAAGATTTCAAATGATTAGTAACCGAAATTACAGTCAAAATCTTAAACTTTGATTAATTTTGAGTATTATGCGCATAAAAATTCATTTATGGAAATAACTCCAAGTGACAAAGTGAAACGCACGTTTTCTTGCGTTTTGCCTTATCTTATCTTATGATGTTGGCCGCCTTAATGTTCTTGATCTTCAGGTATGTCCTTGATTAACAAGAAAATAAAAGATCGGTTTACCTCATCCTTATCGGATTCATTTATTTTCCACCTTCCTTCTTCTGTTCCTACTCATGTTCAAATCCGTATATTGCCAAAGCTAGTTATCGGGATGGTAAGAACTTTCAAACTACTGCTACTTCACCCTATGCATCTTTGTACTAATCCTGGATTAGCTAGTTCTGTTAGTGTGCATCTTTTCCCATGGCCAGAGAGCATTTCTTGTGGTTGATCTGATTGATTTTGGACTGAGTCAAGTTGTTTGTTATGCTGTTGGAGGAAGACACATTTTGCACATGGTCTGCCAAGTAACAGTGGCAGCATATAATGCTATATTTGGTCAAACGGGTCCTAAGGTTTTCCTTCTAGCCTCTGTTTCAGCCTTGAATTGACTGTGTAACTATGTAACTGGGAACCAGAGTTGTTGATTATGTGGATCGGCTTGATGTCTGCAGGTTGGAAGTTTTGATGCTGGTTATGGAAGTTCTATCATGTCTCGTTTGGTGATTGGACTCACTATTACTGCATTGCAATATCCAAAATCTAACAAACATAGGCTGATCAAACTGTCTTAAAATATACAGGTTGGTCATAAAAAGACAGGAGAAATGTGGTTTATGATGAGGTTCTACACAGCTTCTGAAGCAGAGGAAATGGGACTTATCAATACAGTTGTGCCGGTAAAGTTTACCATTAAACCCCGTAGTGTTGTCACAGATTCACAAATTAAATCACTCTATTTGTTGGTAATTGTTTTAGTCCTTCATTGGGACCTGTTTTCTGATACGTTCCAGCTAGAAAAGTTGGAGAAAGAAACTATGAAATGGTGCAGAGAAATCTTACGGAACAGTCCAACTGCAATCCGAGTGCTTAAGGCAGCGCTGAATGCTGTTGATGTTGGCCATGCCGGACTTCAGGTACCTCCTTCAACCAACTTGCTTAGTCTCATTCTGTTCTAAAGGAGCAAAGTCCTATAGTCATTACACATTTTTTCTAATAACTATTTTCATTACAGCATTTGTCCTCATTCCAATCCAAGTCCTTTTTCATTTGTTATCTTTTGTTTACTATAAATGATTTTATGAAAATAAATTTTAATTCATAAAAGCGGGAAACGTTCAACGTCAGAATTACCACAAAAAGATTGAAAAACATAAGAAACACCCAAAGTTCATGAGATCACAAAAGCCTTGCCTCCCAAGGAAATAAAATTCATCAAAAAAAACCCCTAAATAGTGACAGATACCTCATCATCCTCATCTTCATATTGAAAGCCTATTGCAGTAAATGAGCATGATACTTTCGTAGATGTGAAATCTTCACATCCCCAAATCCAGTCAAAGAGTGCTCAGGTTTGTTCCCACTTTTCAAAACAGCATTGATGAAGCTCTTTTGTTCGCCTGTCTTTTCGGTCCAAGATGTCATGTACTCAGGATTACATGTGTAATCCGCTATCTTCTCCATCACTCTCTTGACCTGTCTGCTGGGTCCAAGATTTCATGTACTTAGGATTACATATTTGTAATCCCTTATCTTCTCCATTTCAACTATCTCCATCACAATTTTGTAGATAGTAGATAAATTTTTATTTCTAGAAATTCAATATTGTCTATTGTGGACATATTTACTAACATAGTTTTTGTCTAGTGTTTCCTTTTCCATATTTAATGCATGTGCTTCTCACACGCCACATTTGATGCATTATTCCCTGCACAAGAATTCATTTTCTTGTCAAATTCGCGAAAGGAAAAATGGTCACATACTTATAACCAAAAAGCTGGATCATGGAATTTTTAGAAAAAAATATAATAATATGGCATTTTTTAATAGATTTGTTTGAAATATGACAATGCTCGTTAAATTCCCTTTTTCAATGGAACTTTTATTTTTAGATTTTGGTTTTTGGTTTTGGAAATTTTAAGTTGGCAATAGATTTCAGTGTATAAAGGCTTGAATAATTTAAACACATTGTGTTTGCAGTTTTTTAAGCTTTAGAAAGAAGTTTATGTTTACGCTTGCAACTGGATTCGGTTTGATGATTGTATGTGAAATTCTGAAGATGCAAGAGATGAGACTATAGAGAAAAAACTAGGGAATGTAAAAAGAGGGACAAAATAGAGTTGTTATCGGATAGAGGTTTTAACCATTTAACTAGTCTTATGATCCATGGACCATGATAAATTCACAATCCAATACACAAGTCAAATTTTTTCAACGTAAAAAGCTTTCCTTTCAATTCCTTAGCTTTCAAGCTGGCGGAGGAGATACTTAATGAATAGGATGGTAGTATCCATTTTAGTTTCGTTAAATTTTTTTATTAGAATAGTTTAGATTGTATCGCACGTCTTAATTTGGCTTTTTTTTAAAAACAATAAATTGGACTCGGGTTTTTTTTTTTTTTTGCTCTCCATAGTTTGCCAAAGTGCATGACTAAACTCGAATAAATCTCGAAAACCTGAACCACTGCTAATCTTTCTCAAGGGGCTATCATTTAACTTCATGCCATCCAAAAGAAAGTAATGTATTGTGAAAATTTGTATAGTATGTAGAAGAAGGAAACAAAATCTGTATTGAAATGATCGTGATACATAGTTACGACAGAAGAGATGCACTAATAAAATAATAATCTCATTTACAATGCGATAAATTGAGAAAGGTAAAAAAAAATGAATTGCTACAAGATTTGCTGCGTATAAACATAAGAAATGAAAACTGAAATAGTTTTTATAGAAAAACAAAATTTATATTAAATAATTAACCAATAGATATTATTACAAATGGTGCATAAATTTCTACGAATTGTTCTTCACATAATAAATAGAAAGCACGAAACTCTACTAAATTAGAAAGAAAAATACCAATGTGAATTCTTGTTTCAGGTGTGTCTAAATTTGTTGAGGTTTGTTAATTTTTGTTGATTTTTGTGTTGTTTTTCGTGGCATGTGAAGTTTTTGTTTTGAGTGTGGAGTTTTTTGTGTTGTTTTTCTAGTCATAAGTGATTGTCTAGAGTTTTTGTTTTGTTTGATATTATTTTGTTCTGTTTTTCAATTGTGTTGAGTATTTGTGAAGTTTTGTTTTTGTTTTTGTCGTGTTTGTGGGTTTGGTCATTGGTGTGAGTTTTTTAGTTACCATGATGAGAAGAGAGACAAAGAGAATACCTGACTCTTCAATTGTGTTGACTACTGATTTCCCTTTAGGACTTTTATAATTCAAAGACCTGTGCATATGCCATGAAGCATATAATTCTTTTTAATCTTTGGGCAACACATTACAAAATTGAACACAGAAGAAAATATGTTCAGAGACAGAAACTTACTTATATGTTTCTTTGCTTGAAGTTTGATTTTGAAATATTTGGAACACCTTTTGCCAACCAAATGATGGAGAGGTACTTTGAAACACCTTTTCCAAACGCCAAATCTTTTGATGATTCAAATGGTTCTGGTCTTCTGGAGAAAACGTCGTTAGCATGAACATAAAAAGGGAACGAAGATGAGAAAACATGTTAACCAAATAACGAGATGATGGAGAAATACTTTGAACAAAACCTGGTCTTTACTTTTTGAGCTTGTGCTCAGACTTGGATATCTTTGATATTCTTTTCAACCTGAGAAAAATTCACACGAGTAATCAAATATTTGGGTTTGAATTACACTTTACAGTATAAAACATATTTTCAATGCTTGACATGTATCATCAATTAACCTTGCTCACCTTGTCTACAGCTGGTCCCATGGCCACTGTAACACCAATAGTAGTCATCACTGTTTGTATAACAAGATTTTTGTTGATATCCAACAGTCATAAACAAAAATGGTATAATAACAATAAGGATTCATGAATACTTTTGGAATGAAAAAAAAAACTAAAATAACAGAGAACTATAGAGTAAATCCTCAATTCATACCAGTTCAATGTGGTTCGATACGTTTTCCAAAATTACCATCAGGGGAAATCTATAGAGTAAATTTCCACAAACAAATTGTTAGGTTTAGACAAGAAAAGAAAAGTTCCAATGTACAACACCTTGCAATCTGGACACTCTTTTAAGAAGATTTGAAACTCAAATCTTAAAAACTCTCTTTCGATCCGCAGTCCCCTGATGAACATAATATTCAGAATAATCTTGCTATTGATGAACATAAATATAATATAAGTAGAGCAAGAAAAACAAGAAATCCAAAAAGGCAGATATTAAGACAATCCACAAAAATGTACCTCAAAAGTTTTTTTCTCATATTCGGCGTCAAATGCACTTAGTAATGCAGGTTTGAGATCATTAAGAAAAACTTTGAAGTCTGCAAAAACATAAATAACACAGTTTGATTAAGTTGTTCAGATAAGTTCTTCTATCAAAACAAGTTAGAAAATGCAGAAGCAACAACTTAGAAGGAATTCGTAGCCACCTAAACCCAAAAGATTGATATTGTTACATTTCTGGTGGCAGCTGTATAACATCCTTACAAAAATCTATCAAACCTTGTGAAATGGAAATTACTAAAGTAGAGAAATCAGGGGCTGAAAATTTCTCTGTGGAGAAAAATTTACCTTCTTGCTCACAGTCTATAAATGTAGCTTCTTGCGTATTTTGTGTTCTGCTTTTCACGTTGTGTGTGCGAGAGAGAGAGAGAGAGAGAGAGACTCTACCTTAGCCTTTTTTTTTTCTCTTAGCTACCCAATCATCTCCCAATTATTTGTCTCTGCAAAATAAGGATCCGTTCTCCTGAAAGCGAAACATTTAATTAGCAACATTTACTAATTGCACTTGCTTAGTTACACAACTATTTTGACGTAAGCACCAAATACATATATTTAATACTAATGACCATAATTTACCTTTCCAGTATCATCTCCTCAAATAAATCAAGAACCAAGCTTACATACATTACACCTCCTGTAAATTACAGTTGAGAAATTTAAGAGCTCATTTCAACATGAAGTAAAAGAGAGAGAAACAAAGAATAAATTTGCTCATGTGAAATCCAGAAAAAGTGAATCGTACCACAATAGTATGGAGTCAAAACACGAGCATCCAGGGCATAGGAATGCACTTCAATCGCCATCTTGCAAGACGTTATCAAAGTGCTCCATATTCAGTCGCTGCCAAGAGTTTTGATTGTTATAAGAAAGCTGTAAATAAGTAATTTCAACTAAAACAACACACTAACTAATTATACATCATCCCACAAGTAAAAGAAAGCTTGTACCAATGGGGGTCTGCTTCTCAATATCTCAACTTCTTTCCGCGTATAACTTTTCCTTGAATCATCCCTGCTTGGACATCAATACGCAGATTCAAGTTAGTTTGGGTACTTATGACACTTACAAAAGCTTGAGTGGGACAACAAATCCATACACTGCCATAACTTGTCTATATAGTACTTCATAAGCAGAAAGCCTTGGATCGGAGAAATATTCATTGGATTTCGGATGATTGGCTGTGAAATCAATAATTGGAATGCAAATGAAGGACTTAGAGTGTGAAGCAAGCAAAATAATCAGCTTGCACAACGCAAAACATAGACAAATGCTGCATATAAACAATTCAAAAGAGGATTTGTAAACCAGGCCATTTTGAGGTGTATGTCAAGACAACACATGCATTCACTGATTTTCAAAAGTATGGACTGATCCGATACTGAAGAAGCCACTTAAAATGGAGATCCAATGTCTTTTACCACTCCTCGATTCCAAGTTCAACGTCAAAACGAGACTCAATTAGTATGGAGATTATATCAAATTATCACTCTTTAACACAACACACTAACATCAAGTGGAACTGTCAGCATTCTAGATTAGATAAATAAACTTACCCTCCCTCAATTTTCATTGCAGAAGAAATGATCTCCCCTTCATATTGACCAAGAGGCTGGCTATTAGGAACGTCTCTTGAGACCCAAATCCCACTTATTTCTCCACAATAAGAAGTATACTAGGCTACGTTAATCTCACGAAATAAGATAGCAATGTCTACACATATCAGATTAAGAAATTGGATTAGTGAGTGGAAAGTTTTTCATTCCTATCTGTCTATTTTCTTCAAGCAAAGAAGACTTGAACGATCTGTAACATCCAAAAAAAAGTAAAGCATAAGAACAATAACAAG